TTGCAATTCGAGTTAATGGAGTGTTCCAAGCAGCCTGGGAGCTAGAGCTTTCCAGGCCTCTGGAGTGATGGCCCCTCCTGCTAGGAAAGGCCCAGCCTCCCAGGGGATCCAGCCCATCTGCCTTGTGTCAGATGGGGAAACTGAGACGGGCGGGGATCACAGGACGTGCCCCAGTCACCGGGCCACTCAGCAGAGCTTTCCCCCGGGGGGTTAGGGTGTGTCTTGGTGAGACAGGAAGGTGTCCGTGAGGACTAGGGATGCTGTTGCCCATCCCTGAGCTGATCCCTGAGCATGTCGCTCAGGCAGAGCTGCCCCCAGGAGGCTGGAAGTGGTGGGGCCTTTGTGGCCGGACAGCAGACTGACCTGTAGCCCCTTGGCATTAAGCGTGCAGTGCAGCTGGAGGGTGTGTCCTGGAGGGCAGGCTGGAGGCACACCTGCTCCAGCTCCGGAAAAGCAAAAGTGCTCCCCCTCAAGCCAGGGGGGTGCTTGCTCACTACATTCCCACACCTCCTATAAGCCCTTGTAATTAGCAAGGGTGTCTGGAAAGAGCAGAGGCGGGTGTAAGGGGACGCCCCACTTAGCCACATGTGACCCTGGCAAGTGTCCCTGGGTCTATTTGCTCCTCTGTAAACTGGGGGTTAGAATGGACTCTCCCCATCAGGGCCCTCAGGAGGGTGGGATGATGCAATGACGACCAGACACAGTGCTTCTAGCCCATTCTGCTGCCCAACTCTGTTACTGGCTTTCACAAGGATGACCTTGTGAAGAGCCCTCGACCCTGTCTGGGCCTTGATTTCCCTGAACGTCAAAGCAGGGCTCACAGAGTCATGAGGTAATTTAGCTGAGATCATTGACATGAAAGCGCCTTTAAAAAACTGGGCCGAGGCAAGTGGAGAGGGATTTTGGGGCAGAGAAACTGCTCTGTAGGGCACTAGCATGATGGATGCAGGGCATACTCATTTCCCAAACCCACAGAAAGCACAACCCCGAGAATGAACTCTACTGTGAACTACGGGTTTGGGGTGATGACATGTGTCAATGTAGGTTCACCGACTGTAACAAACCCACACTGTAGCCAAGTCACTGGTGGGGATGCTGAACTTGGGGAAGGCCGTGTCCGGGGAGGGGCCAGGCGATACGTGGGAACTCTGTGCTTTCTGCTCAGTTTTGCTGTGAACATAAAACTGCTCTAAAAAATAAAATCTGTTAAAACTTATTAATAAAATATGTAAAATAGGTAAGTGACCTCCAGTGAGAATTTCTGAGGGGAAGATGCGTGGCTTTTCTACCGCACGCCTTGAATCCTGGCAGTGAGTTTAAACAGCGTGATTGGCGCACGAAGCTCCACACTGATGAAGCAGGGGAGAATTTCAGCTCTGAGCAGAGTGCCTCTGCTTCTAGGAATGTCCGTGTGATGCATTTTGGGGCACTCATTTGTCAAACATGGATTATTTATTGAGCGCCTGCTGCATACAGGCTCTGGGCGAGGCACCAGCTGCACCTCGTAGAGCTCCCAGTCACCTCATTCTGCGGGAGCGAGGGGAGCCCCACTGGCCCCCACACCGTGGGGGACTGGGTTTTCCGGGATGGTGAACTCTCTGGTTCCTGTCCTCAGGACCACTCAGTGAGTGCATATAAACTGTCACCATGGCTGCAGAGGGAGAGAACCTTGTATTATAAGAAAATAACTGGGAAATGTGTGTCGATTAGGAAGAAAAAGAGGCTTTCAGGTAAAAAAAAAGATAGCGTTTAGGGGAGACTGGAGGTCGGGAGGAAGCTGGCCGGTGCAGGAAGGCAGTGTAACCCGGGGGCGTGAGAGCCCAGGACAGCCTGGTTCCATCCTGGCTCTGCCACTTAGAAGATACATGACCTTGAGCAAGTAGTTAGTTTCTCTGAGCCTCAGTTTCCCTGTCTGTAAAATAGGGTTAATAATTATGCTTATCTCAGGTAGACATAAATTTGCAGTTTGGGATTAACATATACACACTACTATATATAAAATAGACAAACAAGGACCTACTACTGTAAAGCACAGGGAACTATATTCAACATCTTGTAATAACCTATAATGGAAAAGTATCTGACAAAGACATGTATACGTGTATCTAAAACTGAGTCACTTTGCTGTACACCTGAAACTAACACAACATTGTAAATTAACTATACTTCAATTTAAAAAATGGTTAAAAATAATGATAATTATGCCTACTTCATAGGGCTATTGGGAGGATTAAATTGGATGACGGAAATGAATGCATAGAAAGCTTTTAGCAGGGCACCAGCTGTGCAGGGATGGAGCTGTAAGGACGTTATAATTACATACCATGTACAAGGTGCTGCCAGTTCAGAAAGGGAAGGGGTGAGGGAGGAGGCTGGCTGGCAGTTAGCTGGCACGGGGGTGTTTGGAATGTTTGTGCCTGAAGCTTCTGGAGATGGTTGGAGGTCATGCCTGTTCTCCCAGTGACCGTGGGGCTCTGAGTCGTTGGCTGGGGGTCAATGACATCTTCTGACCTTTCGTTGCATGCGGGGGCCAGGGCTTGGCTGTGGGAGCTCCTGTGGGCCTGCTCTGTGCAGGTCATGGTAGGTCCAACCCACTGGGCCCTTCCAGTGACCCTGTTATGTGAGGCCTCTGGTGGCGTAGTGATGAACGTGGTGACTCAGTGATGCTGCTGGGGCCACCCGCCACACGTGGATTGACCCTGGCTTGTGGTAGCCAGTGACAGCATCCAAGGGGTGGCCAGCATCTCCCTGGGTGGCCTCTCTGGTCAGGACTGCGGAGGGCTTCCTTCCTCCCGGTGTTGGAGGTGCACGTGCTCATGTCCCCCACCCTAAACAGCGGGACAGACTGTTTTCTGTACTTAGCATGGAGCTTACAGAAGCGGTCGTCCCCTCAGTGGTACATGGAAGCAACCAGAGAGAAAGTCAGTGACCTCCAGGCCCGGGTGTCCCCTCCCCACGTGACTGGTTTGTCCTCTCTTCCAGGGCATGGTCTAGCAGCCCGGGCAAGGACGGAGAACCAGCCTCGGAGGTTCTGATCCCTTCCCTTCACTGCCTCCCCTCGGCCTTGGGTAAGTCACTCTGGGAGGCCACATGGGCCTGGGAGCAAGTGAAAATGGGGGAGCTGGGGGCCTTTACCACTCTGTGGGGTCCTGCCCATGTTGGGACTTGACCTAGCTTAGCGGGAAGAAGGGGGAAGACAAGGAATTTGGGGAACAGCCTGCCCAGCACCCGCATGAGACGGGTCAGGAAACGGGCCTGGAGATGAAAAGAACCCACCCAGGTCCTGTGGGAATCTCGGTTCTTGCCCTGAACTGGCCGGGCTTGTGCGTAAATCATTTGACCCGGGGCGCTTTGGTTGTGAGATGCATCAGAAGTATGAGGGGCAGACTTTGAAGGGGACATTAAGGACCCCTCCTCAAAAGGCTGACCACAGGAGCCCCTTCCCCACCCACAGCCCCCTCACCCTCCTGCCCTCCAGCATGGCAAGGCCCTAACCAGGCCTGAACCCAAACGGGGGGCCCGGCACCCGGCTGCTCTCGGGTCAGACCAGGGGCAGAGTGCACCATCACCAGCTTGACCTACACGCCCTTCGTCTGTTTGAATCCACTACCCTCCCGGCCTCATCTCCAGCCACTGCCAGCCCTGGCCGCGAGGGAGGCCTGGTGAAAGCAGGTGCCTGCGCCATCCGCAGGTACGTCCAGCCCCCAGGCCTTTGCTCAGCCTGTGCCCTCCGCCTGCACCACCTTCCCCTTCACATCATCTGGTACATTCCATCCTTTCCCAAGCCTCCCTGGCCCGAAGCGGAGCCAAGTGCCCATCCCCTTGTCCCCCGGAGGCGCTCTGCATGGCTCCCCTGGGACCCCCCTGCCCTGCTAGCTGCACTGAACCAGCCTGGCCGCAGGGCTGGGAAGCGAGCTGGCTCTGCTGTGGGTCTGTCCCTCTTCTTGAGCTGAGTGTTTGGTTCTGTTCCCAAGTGAGGAACCAGGTGGTGGGTGAGAGAAAGGCCTCTGACCTTGGATCTGTGCACTCGGATCCCACTGGGCCACTTAGCCTTCCCTAGGTCTCGGCCATAAGATGGTTTATCACACCTCCCTCCCTGGGCTTGTTGCAAGATTAGAGCTAAGAATAGTGTTGGGCAAGGTTCCTGGGGCGGGGGTTGCCCTTTGGCTCCTCCTTCTCCTCCTCCACCCCCCCCACCCCTGTTGTCCAGCGGTTACTACAACCGACTGTCATTTGTCATCACCCTGCCCTGCCCACCCCGAGTGCTGTGAGCTTTGATTGAGGCCAGGGATGTGGGCTCTGTTGCCAGGGGAGTTGGGGATCAGGGCTTGGGGAAGCGGCTGTTCCGATGGCCTGCCCGCCGTGGCCCAGGTGTTAAGGGGCAGCAAGGAGATCAGTGTCACTGGAGGGGAGGAGCCACTGGGGGGATGGGAGCCGGGCAGACAGATGGGAGGGTGCAGATGATGCGGGAGGAGCGGGACACTCGCAGTGCCAGCCCAGCGACACAGGTGCAGGTGAGGAGCAGCAAGCTCAGGGCGGCTGGGGTCGCACTCTGCGATGGGCCTCCCTGCCACTTCAGAGATGCCTGTTGCTCAGAGACTTAGCCATGCTTCTGGAAGACGTGAGATCAGCAGGAGTTCTGCAGGCAAAGGAGGCAGGAGAGCATGACCCCGGGCTAACCTCTCCTCTGGGGGCGGTCCACCTGGCCGTCCCGAAGTGGCCTGCAGAGTGGAAGCTGCTGTGGTTTTGAGGTGGGGCACCAGGAAGGGGGAAATCCTCCCTCGGTTGTACGTTGAGGGTTATTTTTAGAGTGACTAGCGATGACTCTGCAGTATCACTTCCTGTGGATGTCCCTTCCACCCTCAACCGCAGGGGCAGATCCTGCGTGACGAACACTGTAGGCAAATGCGTGCTCACATGTGCGCGCGCTCACACACACACACAGACACACACACACTGCGGTGTGCACCTCTTGGCTTGGCGTTCTCATCTGCTATGCAGTCAGTGGAGGGACAGGGACCAGCGTCCTGGCCTGTCTACTGGACAGCCAGCCCCAGGCAAGGGAATCCCTGCCCTCAGCATCCCTGAGCTTCTGCTCCAGGTAGGTTTCTGCAAGAGGTGCTGTGTGGGTCCCGAGTGAGGTCGAGCTCTGGGCTCACACCTGGTTGGAGAGAAGAAAGGCAGAGGTGGAAGGAAGGGCACCTTAACCACCAGTCAGTCTTTGCTCAGCGCCCAAGGGATGGGGCAGAGAGGGAGGCTCCATCATGAATGAAGGAAGGACCAAGCGATGTCCCTGAGATGTCACTGCCTGTTGGCACCTGGGCGGGGCCCCTGAGCTGGGTCTCAGCCCACTCAGGTTCTCCTGCTCCGCGTCGCCGGCCTCCTGGGTCGAGCCCACACTTCTCCTTCTCACTTCGCTTCCCGAGACATTGGACGTGTTCCAGGCACACGGCCATGATTTCTGGGACAGCCCAGATTTCGCATTTTTCCGTCCTGTGGACCCCTTGACATTTCTTGGGTTTGTCAGACCCCAGGTGCACATTGTTAGCTTGGAAGTCCTCCAGGGACATGCTTAGCAAACTGTAGCTGTGCTGGCTGTTCCTCGGACATCAGAGGGTCTCCAGGGCGTCTCCAGGCTCTTCCACTGGAGTCAGAGGACATCTGGGTCAGAAAGCCTCTAATGGACAATTCAGAGAGCTGGCGGGGGGTGGGCGAGGAACGTGGGCTCTCAGGCACTCTGGACAGTTCTCTGCGGCCACAGATGCACGGAACTGGGGGACCCGCGAGGCAGCTGGGGCTGCCAGGGCGCCCATGTCTGCCGCCTTCTCTCCATTGCACCCACCCCAACTTCCCCTCACCGAGCACACGTCCCTCCTGTGTGTCAGGTGCCATGCTAACTGGCTGTGGGATTATTCCTAGCCTCGTCCTGGTGACTGAAACCCAACTCTTTGTCTTTGGGGAAAAGGGCCAGGGAAGGACCTGGGCCTGGAATGCCACCTTCCTTCCCTCTCCCTTCTCCCCGTCCCTGCCCTGCTCCCCCACCACCCCATCCCCACCATCACTGTGCTGGGCTCAGAGCAGAACTAACTCACAATAGAGAAAGAAAGAGGAATTCACGCCTTCCTCTCCAGCCACACTGTCAGCACATGGAGGCACCTTGTACTTTTGCGTGTCCCCAACACAGCGCAGTGACTGCCACTCAGTAGGTGCTCAGTTAACACGTGTTGGTCGACACTGGCTGTGTGAATTTGTGTGTTGGCCCCAAGCCTCCCTGCAGAATCTATGGCTTCTGGTGCTGTGATTTGAAGAATAAAAATGGCAAAGGGCAGTGCTGATGAGCTGTCTTCACTCTGACGATAAATACACTCTGATGATAGCTCAAGGCTGTAGCCCTGGGGCCACCAAGGGGCAGCTGGCACGTCACTATGTGCGCACTGAGCATCTCAGCCAGACTGATGCCACTTTTAGGGAGAATGACTTACTGTGTTTATTTCTCTCCAAAGACATTAAACATGGATCAAATAGCAGATGAGATGATTCACTGGACGTTTACTTCCAAGTTTCAAAAAACACACACAGAACTGGGGATTGGTGTGCGAGTGTACATAAGTGAAGCCAGGAGGCATCCGGCTGGAGCCCGCCCTCCGGGGGCCCTGCCGTAGGCGGCACCTCCCGGGCTGCACCTTGCCCTGAGGTCAGGGTTGTGTGTCGACAGGCACAAAACCCCAGGGGGCCACACGTGTCTTAAAAACACCTCTTCTGTCTGACGTTTAGAATGCCATTTCTTCTCGGTTTCGCCCAGGATATCTCAGAATGTGATCAAACCTCGTTGATTTGGGGCCCAGGGACTGAGAATTGAGCTGTCACTCAGGCAGGAACCTGGTAGAAATGAGCCTTCTACCACCCGCTGGGAAAAGAGGGACTGGGTCGGCCCACCAGGATCCTGGGGAAAGGGACACACACTCCAGCCAAGTGGGAGAACTTCTCAGGTGCCGCCGGGGCCTCCACCGGGGGTAGACTCCAAGACGTTTTCCAGGGTGGGCCGTGCCTCGGGGCCACAGTGTCCAAATTCATATTTTTTAGATGAGGAGAGTAAAGCTTGAGGTGTGTGGCTTACCCATGGTCGTCCAGGCCTTCCGACTCCAGCTGTGCTAATAACAACAGATTCCGATCTGCTCTTTGTAGACACCCCTCATCTACCTCACCACGCGAGACAGTCCATTCCTTACCCTTTGCCTGAAAAAGAAGTCAGAGGCCCTCTTTCAGGTATTTTTTGACTCAGACTTTACAAATTTGAACTGCCCTTCGAGTAATTAGTCTGAATTCCTAGGGTTTGATGGTGTTTTTCCTTCTTTCCCCTGCCACACCTCCTCCCAACCCCTTACATTTGTTAATCTATCCATTCATTCCTTATCATCCTCTACTGTTCCATGTTGTTCCATGCTGTTCTCTGCTGTTCAGTACTGTTGTACTGTTAGTCCAGTCATTGTTCAGGAAGGTGCCTGGAGAGGTAACAGGCCTGAAAATGTGCAGCAGGGATGGGGTACTTGCGGAGGGTTGGTCTCCCCAGAAGCTTGGGCCTATGAATTGTGGAGTCAAGATGCTGCCCAGGCTCCCTGCACCACCAGGAAAGATCCTGCCCACCCCCCAGCCATGTTCCACACCTCACCACACATTTTCCCACCCTCACACCTCCTCGCACACTGACTCCTCCTGGAATGATGCTCCGACCTTCTCCAGTGGACGGGTGTTCCCCCAGGTGGCAGCTCTGGGGGCCCTGCCGCTCCCGCCTCCACCCCAGCAGAGCTCACAGGTCACACCGTCAGGGCCTGGTGTGTAAAATATCTATACGTTTAGTAAGTGTATGTAATAGCTGTGGAATGAAGGGAGGAACGGTAAACATGGCCCGTGCTGGTTTCTCTAAGATAACTGGCTTCCCAGGAGTGAATCCTAGGCATTCCGTACGCTGTTGTGTTAGGAAAGCCTTCACCCTGAAAGCACCCCCTCCCCGGTGCCGCCGCCACCTCCACCACCACCACCAGGCCTGGTTTCTCTCCCACTGGGAGCC